CCTCCTCCTCCTCCGCCTTCGCCTCCTCCTCCTCCTCCTCCGCCTCCTCCTCTTCCTCCTCCTCCTCCTCCTCCTCCTCCACCTCCTCCTCCTCCTCCTACTCCTCCTCTCCCCTCCTTCTACTCCTCATCTCCTCCTCCTCCTCCTCCTCCTCCTCCTCCTCCTCCTCCTCCTCCTCCTCCTCCTCATCCTCCATTCCTTCTCCTTATAGAGAACTCCTCCCTGTCGCACCCCGAGGCTAGTTTTGAGGGCGGGCCGGGCGTTTCGCCTGAGACTTCCTCACCATGGATGACTCTGAAGCTTATACAGTGACAACAGCTTCATAGATGCAGGGCGGGTCGTTTTCAAAATGTGGCTCTCGCCGTAGCGCCGCTCACATTCGTTTGTAAAGTTTGCAAGAGTTTCACGGATTGAGGGCGGGTGGCTTCCAAAATGTGGCTCTAGCCTCAGCGCCGCGCACATTCGCTGTTTTGAACTTGCAAGAGCTCCACGGATGTTCGACATGTGGCTCTCGCCGTAGCGCCGCGCACATGCGTTTTTTTTTTAATTTGCAAGAGTTTCAAGAATTGAGGGCAGGCCGTTTTCAAGATGTGGTTCTCGCCTTAGCGCCGCGCACCTTCGTTTTGAATGTTTACAAGAGCTTCACGGATTGAGGGCGGGTCGTTTTCAAGATGTGGTTCTCGTCTTAGCGCGGCGCACCTTCGTTTTGAATGTTTACAAGTTTTAGAATCTGACACTCGCCTTAGCGCCGCGCACATTCGTTCGTAAAATCTGCAATAGTTTCACGGATTCCCCTGATCAGAAATTGTGTTTTTGAAGGATTCTGGATTATGCGGGCGCATCAGTAATTTTGGTTCCCTGTGTTGAAGTTCCAAAAACGGCGTTCTGGTACGATTCTGGACCGTCAAGACGCAGCAGTCAGGTTGATACGTGGCGTGAAAATCCCGAGAACAATGTTTCGGCACGCTTCAGGATATTCAAACCGTTGTCTTCCAACGAGGCAGTTCCCTCAATGGAAATGAACCCTTGTAGGGGCCTATGAAAGGGGGAGCTTGGAGGGAAGGTTAATTCCAACATGGTTGATGACTCTTGGGTTTCCACTGGTCCTCCTCCTCCTCCTCCTCCTCCTCCTCCAGTTCCTCCTCCTTCTCCTCCTCCTCCTCCTCCTCCTCCCCGTCTTCCGTCTCTCCCCCTCCCACTCTCCCCATCCCTCCCCCTCTTCCTCTGCACCAGGTCCCGTCCTTCCCACTGCCCCGTCTCCCCTCCCCCCCCTCTTCCCCCCCCCCCCTGCGATTAGGGAGGACCCGTCCTCCCACCACTGGTCAAGCTTCGGGGCGGTGATCTCCGACCAGTCGTCCAGGACGACGATGGGATACCTGGAGAGAGGGAGACGCCGCTGGGCGCCCCCGAAGAGCATCCCAGAGGTGCCTGAGCTGATCCCCCGAGGCCCGAGAGGGCACCCGAGAGAGTCCCAGAGATCTTAGCCCGGGAAATCCACAGAGCCCCTCTGAGCCAGGACATCGTCGAGCCACGCGGCGCGTGTCGCCACACACAGCGGTGGCACCTCCCCCCTCCCATCCTGTTTGTCCTGTTGCATCCCCTTCTGCCCTTCGGCAGCGAGCCCGAGGGGGAAATGAAAAAGTGCGGGCCTTCTCAAAGGCTCGGAAATCCCCCGCCCTCCTGAGAAGTCTTCTAAGCCTTCCCGGAAGACACAAAAAACTCTCAGAAGGCGCGAGGGCTTCTGAGAAGTCCCGCCATCTTCCGAGAAGGCCCCCTCCTCCTCACTTCCCCCCCTCGCTCGCCGCCGACGTTCCCTTTCCCCTCCTTCCCTCTTTCCCTCTTTCCATCTCTCCCCATGGGATGCACAGAGACATACTAATACTATGTGTCCGCCTTGGAGGCGCGCGTCCGACCCGAACATATAGTATACCCATCTTGTAGTATATCGTTTCTCGAGCGGTGTGGCCAGAAAGCGCCCGCCACGACGCATATACTAGAAGATTTCTCGGTGCGCGCGTCGCCCCTGGGGGGGCGACGCACACATAGTATAAGTATGTTGGGGTGTTGTCGACCCCAGACTGTCCCCTCACGGCCGCCCCCCCGTGACTGTCGCTGTCGACCCTACGGGTGGATCGTGGCCGCGACGCCCGGAAAGTGGGTCTGCTCGGCGGCTTCCTCGGCCGAGCGCCGAGGCTGGGCCCGAGCATGCCGCGCCCTCACGAGGCAGCGAATGACACTGAAAATGGCCACGGCCTTGCTCCAAGACGGCCCAGGGTCGGCTCCAACGGAGCATTTTCTTAGGGTGGAGGGCCCAGGGTGAAATCCGTATGGACTTGTGCACCTCGAAGACCAGTCCGTCTTGTGATATCACCTTTTGCAGATTCAAACCTCGAAAATCAATCGAAACGGCATTTCCGATATCAACCTTTGCCATCCACCCAGAGAAAATGCTCGATCCAATGCGGCCCGAGGAAGCTCCAGTGACGACCACTCTCCCAGGCTGCAGGCGGCCCCCGAGACCTCCGCGGGGACGCCGAGATGGCCCCAAAAGAGGGCTCCGGGGGTGGCCCCCGAGGAGGCCCCGGGAGGGCCCCCGTGGCAGCCTGCCCAGACCCCCGACAGCATGCTGTGATCCATGATCCTCCTCCTCCTCCTCCTCCTCCTCCTCCTCCTCCTCCTCCTCCTCCTCCTCTTCCTCCTCCTCCTCCTCCTCCTCCTCCTCCTTCTCCTCCTCCTCCTCCTCCTCCTCCTCCTCCTCCTCCTCCTCCCGTGGAAGCCTCGCCCCATTCCCCAGGGCAAGTCTTCCAGCCTGAGTCGTTCTCGTTCACGACAATCGAAATCTATATAAAGGACGGGGCGGTAATGACGCAAGGGCTTTGGACGCCGAAGTGGACAGTTTTTGGGCGGCGCCAGCAGCCTGAGGGGCTGGCCAACGTAAACCGCGAAGGACGAGCCGCAGAGGCTAGGACGCAAGGGCACCGTGAAGGACAGCCATGCGTCCTTACTCTGAATTTTGACTGTAGACAAGCGAATTCAACCACTCGCAAGATAACTACTCGCAGAGGCACGGATCCGCCGAGGGGGATCTGCGATCCCTAACAAACAGGCTGACGCTGGTATTGGGGACCCTCTGCAAGCAGGCACTCTGCGAGCAGTGGCTCCTCCTCCTCCTCCTCCTCCTCCTCCTCCTCCTGCTGCTCCTGCTCCTCCTGCTCCAGCTGCTCCTCCTCCTCCTCCTCCTCCTCCTCCTCCTCCTTCTCCTCCTCCTTCCTCTCCTCCTCCTCCTTCCTCTCCTCCTCCTCCTCCTGCTCCTCCTGCTCCTCCTGCTCCTCCTGCTCCTCCTCCGCCTCCTCCTCCTCCTCCTCCTCCTCCTCCTCCTCCTCCTCCTCCTCCTCCTCCTCCTCCTCCTCGTCCTCCTCCTCCTCCTCCGCCCTCCTCTGCCCCCCAGGGCCATGAAAGGACCACCTAGCTGTGCGCTCCCAAGGAGTCGCGCCCTTTGTCCAGCAGCATGCGCGAGACGGCGTGATTACGGAGAGACGAGCAGTGGCAGAACGAACACCACCCGCTGGGAGATGCTCGTAAGGAGGCAGCCGACCGCACGAAGTATGAACTACTAGAAGTGGTGCGGAGCCCGGCTCCAAAGGATCTGGCAGCAACTGCAGATGCAAAAACCAGAACTACTGGTAGCTGCTGGCAGCTCCGAAAGCTCTGGCAGCTCAGAGACCTCTTGGTTTCTGAACCTTTCGGAGATGCCAGGTCAGATGGCAGCAACTAAAGGCGCGACAGAAACACAAGATGTCAGCTTGGAAGTAGATTGCAGCTACTGGTAGCTACAGCTGAGGCCGGACATCTAAACTATGTACACTACGGCAGGCGCAGAAACACGCGGAGTCGACTCCAAGAGACCGCGAGGACAATGCTAACACTCCATTTTTCGGAGGAGGAAAAGCCGTAGGCTTGGAAAAACCTGTCTGCGCAGCTATGTCGAGCGGCAGATCCCAATATGTGCTCGACCACCGTGTCACCTACGGTGTCACGTCCACCTTGGCCGAGACCCCCCCGTGCTCGTGCTCGTGGGAGTAGAGAAGCCACTCTTTCCAACACCACTCGTCGGCGAACCACTCTTCGGTGACTGCAGGAGCCTGCCCACGGCGACCTTGTTCATGCCGACGAAGCGCTGGTCGAGCTTGTTGCCAGGGACGTGCCCAGTGTACCCGAGCACACCGCGCCCTGGGCTCGCGGGTGATCCTGGCCCCAAGGGGGGAAGGAGGATGGATGAGATGGCAAGAGGAGGGAAGAACAGGCGCAAGAGGGGGGCCCGGAGGAAGAGGAGGGAAGACGCGATCCTGGCTCCACGTGCGGGGCAGTCACCCTCCGATACTCGAGGCCCTTGCAAGGCTCGCGCATCTCCTTGGCGACTTTCTTGTTGGCCGAAGCGAACGTTGCCCCGACCACGGCCCTCGTCTTCGGGCAATGGCCCGTGTACCCAAGAGTTGCGTCCGTGGCCCGGCCCTGACTGGGATAACCTCCAGACTTTGGTGGGGCTCCAGCAACTGCACCACCAGGCCGCACCTCTACCTCTCGGTGGTCTTTCTTGTCGATCGCATGGCGAATCTGGGTCTTGTAAGTGGCGCCGTATTGCAGGGTCTTCCCGCCGATGTAACCCGTGTAGCCCGGAATTGCTGCATTGGCCCGGTGCTGATTGGTCATGTTCGCCGTGCTCTTGAATGGGCTGTCCGCGATGCGGTCATCCTTCCCAGGGACATGGCCAGTGTAACCAGGCACGCGCATTTGGCGTTGCAGGCGTGGGCAAACCCACTTCGGCAGGTAGCGCTGGGACCAGCGCCTTGAGCCAGGGGCTGTGGACTGCGAGGGCCGTAAAAATCAGAAGCGAAGGCAGCAATTCGCACCCTCGTTGCTCGCGGGCGCCCTGTGGTTCAGGAAACGCCTGCCAAATCGTTCGACCACCCTTTGCCTGCAAGACGTATTGAAACAACAGCCATACTTGAATAAGTGGCCGACGGTGGAAACCGTCAATCCAGAAACGTTGACACCTCACTTTTGTTTCTCCGATGTTGCGCCGCGCTTACGCCAGCGGGCCCCCCGCCATTTTATTACTGTTGCTGGCTTCCGCTGGCCTTCCTCCGTCCTCCGCCGAGGGTGATGTGCGCCCCCGAAAATGCAGAGGCTGGAAACAAATGACCTAAGACGATATGGCACACATCATCTCGTTTGCGGCCAGCGCCAGCCAAGCGGGACAGCGGCGTGTTAGTTAAAACGATGTTTGATTAGCGCGGGCATAAGGGCTGACGCCAAGCGGGGGAACAATCGGGCCATGCAAGAGATGGCGGCGGGCACGGTGGCCACAATGAGGGCTGGTGGGGCTAGGCAGGGGCCAGTAACAAATACCACTGCTTTCCCATTCCAGTTTTCAACTTACAGGCCCATGTTACAGGTGATGAGAAGGGGCCGGCAGGGCGATCCTGCGATCTTGCTCTCCCAGGGGGGGGGTCAATGACTTCCTTGGGGTGGTTTGTGGGCGTTTGGTCTTCTTGGCGGCGTGAAGCGGCGTAGTGGCGTACCCCCTGTAGCCTAGGAGCGTGGCCTGACGCGCGAGGCTCTGGAACGCAGCTTGGCTCGAACCTCGCCTGCGTGGGCCTCTCGCGCGCGTGAAAGCATGGCTTGATGTAGCAGCTATTGCGAACAGGGCGCGCGATTGGTGTTCCAGGACCTCTGCAGCTGAGAGGTTAGAGCGAAGGTCTAATGAGCTGACGGTTTGGGGCTCAAGTCCCAATTCGTACCCACAGGTATACCGGTTCGCGCCCTTGTAATTCATCGTTGGGGAAGCGCCGAGCGAGCGCGCCACTCGACTCTTTGGAACCTGCCAGGAAACTCTGCAGGCACAGTTCTTGAGCCCGCGGAACTGTTGGGCAATTTCCACAGGGTCCAATGACGCGCCCAGCCGGCGCTTCCCCCGCGGCGAACTCCGCGGGCACGAAAGATCGAGCACGCGGAAGTTGTGGGCACGTTCCACAGGGTCGAATGGCGCGCTCGCTCGGCGATAAACTCCGCGGGCGCAAAACTCGAGCCCGCGGAATGTCCGGGCAGTTTCCAAGGAGGGGCGAATGGCGCGCTCGACCAGGGCTTCCCCCGCAAATTCCGCGGGCGCGAAAATCGAGAGCGCGGAATTTCTGGGCAGCTCCAGAAAGTTCGAATGGCACGCTCGCCAGGCGCTTCCCCTGCGATGAATATCCGTAGGCGCGAAAATCGAGCCCGCGGAAGGGGGCGGTTTCCACCAGGTCAAATGGCACGCTCGATCGGCGATTCCCCTGCGATGAATTACGAGAGCGCGAAAATCAAACCGCGAAATGTTGTGCAGGTTCCGCAGGGTCGAACGGCACGCTGGCCCAGAGCTTCCCCAACTATAATGCTGGGAAGTCCTACTCTGAGTCGTGTCAGCGAGGCCCACTACAAGTCTTAGTAGGGAGCGATGCTATGAGTCCTGGTAGGGAGTCGTAGCTAGATCCCCATGGGTGGGGGTGCTACTTCTCAAAGTTCGGTGGAGTGTGCCGCACGAATGGTCCTAGTAGAGAGTCCTGCTGGAGAGGCCGCGCAGGGAGTCCGACTCAGAGTCTTCGAAGGGAGTCGCACTAGAAGTCCTAGTAAGGAGTCCTTCCAGGAGAGCTAGTAGGGAATCTCGCAACGAGTCTCAGTAGGGGTCTCACCAAGAGTCCTGGCGGGGCGTCCGACTCTAAGGAAGAGCCCCGCAGAAAAGGGTTGCTATATAATACAACGAAACTACCAAGAGTCCTAGTCGGGAGACCTCCCATTCAAGCCTGCATGAGAAAAAGTACCAAAAATCCTGGTACGGGGCCCTGCGAAGACTCATTGTAGGGAGTCCGGCTTACAGTCGGAAAGACAATCTGACAGGGGAGTATTACCAGCAGTCCAGGCAGAGAGTCGCGCCAAGATTCCCACTAGGGAATGGATATCACGACGGGTTTGGGTTGGGTTCTAACAACAATCCGAATGCGTCCTACTCGGAGTCCACGTGGGGGTCGGATCGGACGACGAGATCGAATGGAGAGTCCCACGGACACTCCGAAAAATAAATCCTACTCAGCGTCGTAGCACGGAGCCCGTCCTACTTAGAGTCTTAGCTGGGGAATCCGAGTAAGAGTCCTAGCGGGGAGTCCCACGAAGGGTCCTACCGAGGAATCCTGCGAACCCAAAAAGGATTGCAAGTTGTCTGTTGCCGAAAAATCGGCTCCACTCAGCGCGCTACCATGCAACTGTCGGGAACGCGGACTGCTCTGCAAGAAATCACGGGTTGCTTGCAAGAAGGTCGAATGCCGCGCTCGCCCGGCGCATCCCATGCGGCAAGTTCCGCCAGCGCGAAGATCGGGCCCGCGGAATTCCTGGGCAGCTCCCAAAAGCTCGAATGGCCTGTCCGCTCGGCGCTCCCCCTTCGGCAAACTCCGCAGGCACGAAGAGCGAGACCGCGGAATTTCTGGGCAGCTTTTCCACAGGCTCGAACGGCGGGCAAGTTCCACAGGGTCGAATGGGGCGCGCCCGTCTGGCGCTCCCCCTGCGGTAAAATCCGCGGGCACGACAGTCGAGCTCGCGGAATGCCTGGGCCTCTTCCACGGGGTCGAGCGTCGCGCTCGCCTGGCGCTCCCCTCGCGATACGTGCCGCGGGCACGAAAAAATCGAGCCGGCGGAGTGCCTGGGCAGTTTCCGGAAAAGGTCGATGGCGCGCTCGCTCGGCGCTTCCCCTGCGGTGAATTCCGCGGGCACGAGAAGCGAGCCCGCGGAGTTTCCAGACAGTTTGCACAGGGTCGAATGGCGCGCTCGCCCGGCGCTTCCCCTGCGGGAGTCCCCGCGGGCGCGAAAATCAAGCTCGCTGACTTTGTGGGCAGTGTCCACTGGGTCAAACGGCGCGCTCGCCCAGCGCTTCCCCAGCGACGATACTGGAAAGTCCTTCTCAGCGTCGTAGCGACGAGGCCTAAAGTTCATGGGAGCGATGCTTACTAAAGTTCTCGCGAGGGGTCCCAGACAGGGTCTTAAGGGGGGTCCCATTTAGAGTCTTGGAAAAGAGCCAACGGTCCTACCAGGGAGTCCGATTGAAGCTGCCACATCCGTGGGAACAGAACTCTTGTTTTTTTTGTTCTCTCTCTCTCTCTCTCTCTCATTTTTTCTCTCTCTCTCTCTCTCTCTCCCTCTCTCTTTCTCTGTGTCTAAGTCTTTGCTTTAGTGAAAGAAAAATCGGGAAACTTTCAGGAAACAAAAAGCCTAAAAGATCAAAGGAACAGTCTCCCGCCGAAGGGGGTCCCCGCTGTCGCCGAGGAGCCCTGGCCAACGTGGAGGCTTGGTGGGGGTTCTCAAATACGGGCCTCAACATCATGCTGGCGTGAGTCCGTAGAAATCATTCAAGGGTGCTGGCTCGCGTCGAGACCATGGTGGGGCCTTCGAAACTGGACACCCCTCTGACGCAAAAGCCCCACAAAGTCCTCGAGACATCCTGGCCCGCCTGGACGTCGCGCTGAGGCGCCCGAAGGCCCGCTTTGCCTGGCCGACCGCAGACGCCATCCTTGCGAGCAGGGACGGCGCGGCGGCGGCAGCAGGCGCTTGAGCCAGAGCCCACGGCAACTGAACAACAAAGATGATGCCCAATGTCGGGGGTGCTGATCGGAGCGTCGACGGCTGGTCCCCTTATCGGTGTTCCGTTGACCTCGCGGCGCCGCGACGCGGGGTTCGAGACGCTGCGGCACCTCGGCGCAACGGAGCGGGAGTTCGACATCTGGTATTTTCGCACGTCGGGGTGCTGCGGGACCCCGTCCGACATATCTCAGAATGGAAATTTGGGACGAGCCCAAGATCCAAAGATCTCGCGCACCGATCTACTTGCTAGGATTCTATGGGGGCGGGGGCGGCGCTGGCCACGTTGAAAAATTCCCGAACATGTATGCCATTTGCGCGCGCGGGCGCAGTGCCCTGCTCGGGGCAGGCCGTCCATGTCGAAATTGAAAGGCGAAGAAGAAAACAGCTGTCGTGGCGGACACGGACGGCTGTGACAAGCGGGCAGGACTGGAGAAGCGGGCAGGGACCAACGAGCAAGCCGGGTGGCGACAAGCAAGGTTAGCGGGGCCAGTCAAAAGCTAGCAGGGGCTAGGGGTACGTGGGCTGGCGACAAGCAGGGCCAGAGGACCCTAGCATGGCACAGTAGGGCCTGGTGGCGAGCACGGGCGATGGCAGCAAGCGGGGCCAATCCTCAATCCTGTCGAGCACAAGCGACGAGCCCTCACAGCAAGACTTCCCCAGGGACATTTGCTTGATGACATGTCAAGCTCGCGAGTTTTCATTGCACAAACGGTGATATGACTGCGCTCTCGTCGGGGATCTGGTATCACTGTGAAAGGCTGGCTGGCTCGTGCCTTCTTGACACAACACAATTAAGCACTGCCTTTCGGAACCGAATGGGTTCATCTCGACATCAAGCGACGTGCAAAACGGGTATCACCATGGGCACGAGAACAACACAAACGACGCACGACAATATGGCTCCCAAAAGGGATGTTCATACCGATGCCCGAAACAGCAGACATGCCACAGTCGCGCATCGCGCAAATCTACTGACCGCGCAGTCCAGCTGCATCCACGGCGCGCGAATCCGAAACAATTTCCACGTTTGTGAGCTACCCATGAGAGCATGTCGCAGTCACGGCTTTCACACTGAAGGAAACTAACCCACAATCTCTCTGGCATCTGATGAAGTGTTCTCAGGTCATTGACCGCTAATCTAGTTCGAACACGAAAGACCAAGACATGTGTTCAAGACCTATCCCCACGATCATGGGCGCTTCCGAAGACTGTTCAATATCCCCATGTGTTTTCTAGGAACCCGGGCACATGTTAGCCAGCGTGGGCCCAAAAAACCTAGCAACATATCCGCCGGCCCCCCTGTGGGGCCACCAGGCTGTAGGCCCGTGATTCGCAGTTTCCTGTACCAGTCGTAGGTTGTAGTTTCCAGTGTTATAGTTCTGCTTCTTGCTGGTTACTGTTACTAGTTGATTGACCGCGCGAGGGGGGGGGGAGGCCCAAACCGGCATTTTAGCACCTCCTGGGCGCGTTGTCTGAATTGCTGGGGGGGCTCGAAATCCACACCCCTCACACAGATCGGCAGGGTCAGGGTCCAAAAACACAAGGGATTTGCCACATTTCTGAAATTCGGTGCCACCCCTCACGGAGATCCGCGGGGTCAGGGTCCAAAAACACCGGGGATTTGCCACATTTCTGGAATTCGGTGCCACCCCTCACACAGATCCGCGGGGTCAGGGTCCGAAAACACTGGAGATTTGCCACATTTCTGAAATTCGGTGCCACCCCTCACGCAGATCCGCGGGTCAGGGTCCAAAAACACATGGGATTTGCCACCTTTCTGAAAATCGGTGCCACCCCTCACGCAGATCCGCGGGGTCAAGGCCCAAACACACAGGGGATTTGCCACATTTCTGAAATTCGGTGCCACCCCTCACGCAGATCTGCGGGGTCAGGGTCCAAAAATACCGGGGATTTGCCACATTTCTGAAATTCGGTGCCACCACTCACACAGATCCGCGGGGTCAGGGGGGTTGCCACATTTCTAAAATTCGGCGCCAACCCTCACGCAGATCCGCAGGATCAGGGTCCAAAAGCACAGGGGATTTGCCACATTTCTGAAATTCGGTGCCACCCCTCACGCAGATCCGCGGGGTCAGGGCCCAAACACACAGGGGATTTGACACATTTCTGAAAATCGGTGCCACCCCTCACGCTGATCCGCGAGGTCAGGGCCCAAAAGCACAGGGGATTTGCCACATTTCTGAAATTCGGTGCCACCCCTCACGCAGATCCGCGGGGTCAGGGTCCAAAAACACCGGGGATGTGCCACATTTCTGAAATTCGGTGCCACCCCTCACACAGATCCGCGGGGTCAGGGTCCAAAAATATTAGAGATTTGCCACATTTCTGAAATTCGGTGCCACCCCTCACGCAGATCCGCGGGGTCAGGGTCCAAAAACACATGGGATTTGCTACATTTCTGGAATTCTGTGCCACCCCTCACGCAGATCCGCGGGGTCAGGGGTTCGGAAATCTGTGATGATCTTCAACGCGAGCTTCAATGGACCCCAAAACCGTGCAGGAGAGCTCCCGGAGAGGGTCCTCGGATCCATCGTCGTTGCATCATCAGCGTCGTTCGAATGGGATATAGCGGGGGGAGGAGGAGGTCTCTGCGTGATACTGGGGTCTAGCAAAGAAAATGACTCGTGCTTTGATGCATGTGAGGATGATGACGCTGCGCTTACTCCTTCTATGCCCAAGAGGCGACAGTTTCTCGAGCCGAAGTTCTCTACGCGCAAGCATGGGCCTTTCAGAACGCGGAGAAGTGGTAAGACGGCCTTTGAGGTTTCGTAGACAGCTTCGGATATCTGTGACGATCTTCAACATGACCCCAAGTGGACCCCAAGACGGTTCACGAGCGCTCCCGGTCAGATCCATCGTCATTGCATAATCAGCGTCGTTCAAATGGGATGTGGCTGGGAGGAGGGGGGGGTCTCTCTGCATGATACTGGGGCCTAGCAAGGAATATTACTCATGCTCTGAGACATGCGAGGATGATGACGTTGCGTTTACTCCTACGCCCAAGAGGCGACAGCTTCTCGAGCCGAAGTTTTCTACGTGCATGCATGGTACAGTCAGAACGCGGAAGAGCGGTGTGAAACTAGCATGCGTTTCATACTACGCGCGAGACTGTACCTCGCGCTGCGCATGAATTAGGCCATCACCAGCATCGCAACTACGTGGTGGAGCTGCTGCACACTTCTAAACTTGCTGCGTCGGTTGACCACTCCGAAATCGGGCGCGAACTTGTGGACTGCTCGCATCTGCACCACTTCGCATTTTCTGCAGACGCGCGCGACCGAGTCAAGCAGGTGCAACGCAACCGTCGATCTGGACCCGCCCTCCTGGTGAAGTCGAGAGGGACACTGTCGGCAGCACTTGCACCGCGTGATATGAAACGCAAATCGCTCCACTGGCAGCGTTGGGAAGAATCATTAGCGGGTCGAGCATGCGATGCTAAGCTGGCCGGGTGCGCCCCCATCGCACAAGTAGCGCATGTACTCTTGTTCGCAATGCGAACCGATGCCGTGCCGAATGACAAAACCGCACGCTAAGCTCTAACACAACGATAAGCACTACGTGTGTTCACTCAGTGCGCGGCTTCTTTGCAACTTGATCTAAGCTCCTCTTAGTCATGGCGTCTACTTCTCTTTCGTGTCTCTGGATGCAGGCGTCGCAGACTCTGGAGTGTCCACGCACATTGTCGCCGCGTCTCGATCTGGCAATACCGAAGGCTTCGTCGCGGGGCAGCCGCTTCTTGCAGCGCTTGTTCGCGCACGTCCACATTATTTTCTGTTTTCTGCCCTGGGCGCACACCTTGCAGACGTGCCCTTTGAAACCATCCACCATGTCCCACACGCCAGGGGCGAAATCAGCGCGGAGCCTCAGCTTGTTGCAGCCGCCACAGCGTTTTCTTTCGCAGCCGGCGCACAATGCTGCCCCTTCTTCAAGCTTCCACTGCGTCTTATGATATTGGCTCTTCGTCTTCGCCTTTTTGCATTTTGCGCACCGGATCGGCACGCAGTCTTTGCACCTGCGACATTCGTCTGCTTTTCGCCACTCTTCGGGTGAAAACTTCTCCGCTCCTCCTTGAAAATCGCATGAGCTGCACTTCCGATCGCCAGCGCATTCCAAGCATGTCCGTTTTTTTCAATACTCGACCCCACCGCGTGCTTGAAAATTGATCCTCTGATTTGTCACAGCCGCATTGGACGCACGTCCGGAGCCTTGTATTCTTCTTGCAAGCCGAACAAACAAACCTGTCTAGGTGCTCTTGTGTTCGTGGGAACTCATTTCTTGGGTACCACGTCTTGCACGCATTGCACCTGTGCGTCTTCCCTTCGGACTGCAGCCGCGCAACGCAGGCCTTGCAGCGCGGGTCTCCCTTGTTGCCCCATTCTCTCGCGTGGAAGTCCTTCTTTTCGCGCAGGCTCAGGCATGGACCGCAACATTTCGCCATGGGCGCGCGCTTGTCTTCGACGGCCTTCCAGTCGATCTTCTCTCCGCGAAGTTTACGGAGTAGGAGTCTCGGTCCTTCTGGCGGCCCTTTGGTGAAGATCTCTCGATCGAACGGGCGAAATATAAGCAGGTCGCGCCTCGTCTTGATCGTTGTCATGGCCACGTAACTGGCGATGCTGCCGACTCCGCGCCCGATCTGCAAGTCGACGATGGCGGCGCGCAGCGTCTGCCCCTGGCTCCCGCGCGCCGTAATCGAGAACGCCGGCGCGAGCGGCACCTGTGATCTGCTCACGCGGAGCACGGGGGACATGCGTTTCTGGTCCAGGAACCAGGCGCGAGTTAAGCACTTTATGGGGTAGACGCCTTTCTCGCTCATGCCTGCCAATTGCCGCTCGCACGGCCTCTCCACCACGCGACCTTCTTCCTTTTCCAATCGAAGAACTGCACGAACACGACCTTTGGCGGGTACTTGAGGTAGCGGTCGCCGCCATCGCACTCCGAGTCCTCACGATCGTCGGTGACCCAGCCCGTGATGTACCCGACCCTGCCTTTCAGCAGCTGCTTGTTGGGGTTGCGATCGTAGTGTTCCGTAAGCATAACGGGCAACCCGTCCACCAATGGGAGAAGTCCGTATAGGTCAGCGCAATCGCGGTCGCGCCGAGTAAGCCACACCTTCTTTTCTTCTACGATGTCGATCTTGTCCGCGAGGACTTTGTTGGACGGCCTGTCCCTGGCGACGGACCACGCAATGGCGAGGCCCTTCTCGACGGCGAAGAGCTGCGCGCCAGACTGGTTCACGTCGCATTCGATATCGTTGTTCGGGAAGATCGCGGGAGCGTCGATGAAATGAGCGTCTAAGTGGCGCGCGTCGTCTGGACCAGCCAGAACTCGTCTTTTACTCTCCCGTTCGCTCTGGCAGACGTCGCACTCCATCTTGTTGTCTTCCCACATTTGTTGGCACGCCGTGTTGCCACAACTGCGCTGTCCATTCACCCAACTCCCTGGGACGCTTCTTTCTCGGCCGTGGAAGAATTTCCAGGACTCCTCGGATAGATTCCCCGCTCGCATCTCCTCTTGCACCTGCAATAACCACGGGTCCTCCGCGCGCACGTACTCTGTGAGTTCCGTCATGCCCTTCACGTAGCGCTTCTCGAGGTCCCACAATATAGATTGCCCGTGCGCGATGTCCGGCTTTGGGTCATACTTCCTGGCTCTGCGCATGAACTCAGTCGGCATGTCTCCCAGAAATCCGCCCGCAGGAGGATCCAGTTGCCAGAAGTCACCGACAAACACGACATTGACGCCGCCGAAAGGTCGCACTTCTCCGAGGCCGTTCTTCTTCAGAGTTTCTACGACTTTCATGACCGTTCGGAGTTTCACATCGATTTCGGCCAGTAGTTTGCAGCTCACCATGCTAATTTCGTCAATGAATAGCCATCTCCACTGTTGTACGCGCTCTGCCACCTCCGTCTGGCGTTGATCTGCTTTCTGGGCGCTAGCAGTGCTGGTCTTGCTCGGGAAGGGGTTGATGCCGCAGGCGTGGTGGATCGCGTCTCCCTCCGAGAGCTGCGCCATGACGGCCTGCAGCGCCACCATCTGGAATTCCACGCCCATTGTCCACCTGCAGACATCTCGGAACAACTCCTTGCACAACTTCAGGACCTCCGACTTACCCGTGCCGGGCAGTCCGTGCAGCATCCACATGAGAGGTTCTCTCAGAGTTACTCCAGCGGCATTGTCTTCTACTTCATCGCACAGGCGGTTGCAGATGATGCGCAGCATCTCGAGCTGCGCCTTTCGCATGCGTGGCTCGTTCTCGTTTGTTTTGCTCCTCTGTATCTCCAACCAATTACGCACATCCTTCGCGCTGTACTTCTTCACTGGTCTCACGGCAGGTTCAGCGGCATCTTTCTGCCCGATTCTGGATCCCTGCTCCTGTTTCTGCGAAGCGGCGGCGTCGGCCAAGGCCTTCTGGAGGTCCTCTGGGTCGACGGCATACGACGGCGCCCTGTCGTCGGTCAGTTTTCTTGCGGGGACGTTCCACATGCCGTGCGCAAGCTTGAATGCTTCCTTCGTGGTATTCGTAGCTGCGTCGTCCGCTTCTTCATCATCGCCCGACTCAGCGGCACCCCTGTTCCATTTGTCCGCTGCGCGCCTGCCGGCGCCCATGCGCGTCTTAATGACTTCCTTGAAATTGGACGCGTTCACAATTGGCTCGTTGTCACTCAACTGCTTCTCGCTGGCTTCGTCGTTTGCATCTTCGTCGGGCCTTGTCCGCGTGATGGCCATGAAATTATCGAGGTATCTCTTCGTCTCGGCCCGCAGTACGCGACCGTCGAACCAGCGGAGCATGGCAGCGTGCCACTGGCCACCCTCGCATAAGTTCCCGAGGTACGGCAAGTGCTCGTCGGCGAGGTCGTCGTTAAGAGTCCACGGGTGGAAATAAGTCAAGATTAATGCCGCGTTGTGATTGTTCGTGTCCTCGCCTCTGCGCGGCATGGTGCATCGCGAGAACTGCCAAATCGTGCCTGTATTCTTTCGTATTTTGATTGTCTGGTAGGGCGCGCCACCTGTCGGCGTGTCTCTGCGCTTCGGAATCGATCTCGTAGTCAATTCCAGGCATCAGCTCTTCGCTCGATTTGGATTTGCGCTTCGCCCGACCGAATTCTGTGAGTTTCGCGGGGAATCGGGATTCCTTGGTGGCCGCGCCACTGGCGTCGTAGTCTGCCAGTGCTACTTCCCAGTATCTCATAAATTCGCATGGAGATAACTACCAGGTCTTTGTCGTCTGCGCCGCGCTGACCGTACAAATAAACGATGTTCCGCATGACGGGCGTCTTCCTGCTCGGGTTTCTCCAGTCCACTTCTACTGCCCCCACTATGTCGACGTCGGGCGCGTTGTTGTAAATCGCCTCGCGCCACCTGCAGATATCAACGCCTGGGAACTGCACGTACGAAGCAGTGCGGAAAGACTCGGCGGAAGTGACGTCGGCGTCGTTGCCTGCTGCGCGAAGGTTCGTGCTCTCTTGATTGGATCTACAGATGCCCTTGCAGTAGGCATCGGAGCACAGACGCTTCACGGACCGCGCGCCGAGGTAACTGGGGGGGGCCCCATATCTCGGATATCGGCATGGAGTTTCCCGTGCCCCTTGATGAGTTCTCGGAGCTCACTGCGCGACTTCGCCGCCCTCTTGTTCTGGTAATCGCAAGTGTATCCCACTTGTGCGTCTTGAGCGTTCTGCACGGCCTCAATGATCGTCCCGAGCTGGTTAACGTCGCACAGATAACACTTCGCATCGCAGATGGAGTCGTTGTGCGTCGTCTCCGCAACGGGATACCTGCACGGCAATCTCACGTCGGTGTTTGTCTGCAAAAACGCGCTCAGCGCTGGATGGGTACCGTTCACGTTCTCCTCGTTCCGCGGGCCGTAGAGGGCGCCCACTTCGTTTCGGCGGCCGCCCGCGTGCAGGTTGTTTTTGTCCATGACTCCTTTGCACATTACGAGGGATTCAGCAAACAACGGCCGCGGAAATCCAGCTTTGCATTTCTTTGGGTCGTCTGCCCTCCGACAATGAGTCAGGGGAACTCTCTCCCCCTTGCTGTTCATGATGTGTACATGGTGTTGCTTCTTCTCCTGGACGTCTTGAACATGAGCTTCCAAATATAGAGTGAGCCATTCTTCCGAGGTAATGTTTGCATCGACGAGATACTTGCGCCGACTCACGAGACCCGCATACTTCTTGTACTCTGGCCAGTACTCTTCCGTCTCCGTCTTTCGATTATTCCATGCTGTGAGGTTTTCGTATTCTTCTCGGCACACGTGTCTCTTGTATCGAAGGCACTCATCCACGAGTTGTTTCCCCCTTTCTGGTAAGACTTGGCCCATGATCTCTGCGAGAGGTAGGTGCTGGCGCAGGCAGGACACGCGATGTTGCCCGCGCGCATGTAGGCCGCCCGCTGACTTTTGAGCTTCGACGGAGATACTGATGCCCTCTGCGCGTCCGAAGCACCCACCGTCGGAATATGAATTGTTACCGAATATATCCTGGCAGCACAACTCCACAGATCCAACTTCTATCTCGTCTGCGTCGTAGGCCCCATGGTTGCAGTCGGGACACTTGGGGCACACGCGCAATCCGAAAATATACTCACACACTAATATGATCAGAGCGTGGAACCCATCGACGCTGGCGAGCGGATCTCTGGCGACGATAGCTCTGCGGTCTTCGGACTCGGGAAGCCACTGCTCGATTTCCTCCACGCTCGCCTTCAGGTCGAGATAGTCATTGTCCATAGACGGCTCTTTGCGCTGCCCGAACTTCTTGAGCTGGGGATTCATCTCATGGATGGGATCGTTCTCCCTGGACCGGTGGAGGCACATCATCAATACGTTATGCGTTTCGTCTGGTGAGAACGTGACAAAGATGGAGACTCCTCTGCAAATGCGCCCCGCGTTCGTCTCATATCTCATCTCCTTTCGAACTTCCATGGTCCCCTTCAGCTGTCTGGATGCATGCTCGAGGTTTTGGAGTATGCGTTTCCCCGCGTCGTCTAAGTTTGCAGCAAATTTCACCTTCGTAAAATCACCATTGACCTTCTTCACCTTGCCATCGAGGTCTTGGTAATGTCAGTATACCGCTTTCACTATGGAAATAGCTCCGTTCTCCAGTTCTTCGGTCGTGAAACCCCTGGAGCCGTCGGTCCGTTTCACTTTGTCGCACGCGTACACCGTTCGGCACTGGTTCAGAGTGCCCCGGAAAAAGGATATTCCACATGGAGAAACCGAATAACCAATCTCGTTTCAAGTGTTGTTCAACTCGTCGGGTCATCGTTCTGGTCCACAGCGGCAATTCCACTCGCGGTGCTTCATCACCTCGACGGTGACGCGAACATTCTGACCACTTTGGCATGTCTGGCATGCCGATACAGAACTTGAACAAAAAGGCGAAGGCCACTCCGAAGTACCACGGCTTGAACTGCGGCTGCATGGCTGATCCAGCGGAAGCTGCGAATCTGTGAATCTCGGTCGATCCCGACACTCAGCGCTCGCATTCGAGGCGCAGCACGTCTCTGAGTTCTTCCTCGGACGCCGTCGGATCCCTGCTCGGCGTGTAGAACTCGTCGAAGTCTCGATGGGCCACTAAGAACTGTGCGAGGTCATCCGAACTTAGCCTTTGGGAGCACAAGCGTAAGATCGTACTTGTCCAGAACCAGTTCTGGAACGCTTTGGCAGATTCCATTCTCCGATTCGCGTCTGCGTTAGTTTCGACTCTGCTCGGTACGGCGTGCTCGTCTATGCGAGATGTCAGCGTGGTCGCTGCTTCCATCTTCCTGATATCGATGCCCCCCTCATCTTTCGAAGATCTCTCCATTGTCACGCAGTTGGGTCGCTCGTGTCGGAGCTCCCCCGCAGCTTCGTGGAGCGTTTCCGCCATGCCCTCCACTGGCGTTGCCGCTTTCTGAATTCGAAACTTGTCGAGGGCTCCGTCATTTGGGAGCAGGGATATCAGTTCTGGCGGGATGTCGTTCTCGGGGAGCTGCTCGTTTTTTTCTAACACCCTTGCTTCGTCTACGTGAACGTAGGCTCTGTGTCCTCTTCTTTTCATAGCCAGAATGGCATTCACCACTTTTCTTCTGTTCACCATGGCTTGGTGTATGAAATGTTTCAATCCGGAGCGCTTGTCTTCCTCGCTCGTCTTGGGTGAGATCTGGACGACATACTCCAATTATTTCCCCGTTCGGGGCAGATCAGGCCCGCGGTTGTCGTCGCGTTCCCTTTGTTCAATCCGGTACAGCTCTGCCAGGATACCCCCCCATGGGAGGAGGAACGTCGTGGCGTTGCCCCTGGCGCCCACTCTGTGGCGCTGCATGTGCACGGTGCTCTCGAACATGCTTCCGTGCTTCACTTCCATCGAGAAGCATATCACCGACGCGATGCACGTGCTCGCGCAGATCATTTCCATGACCGTCAAGCCGCCGTCGGCATAAAGTTCTTCGGGCGCGTAGAACACCATCATGTCGTTCACGAGCGCTGCGGGGGGGCACCTCGGCGATCCTTCGTCCACTTCTTTCTTCATGGCTTTGTGGCAGGCGCTGCAAATTGGAACCCAACACTTGTCACGCAGCTGTTCGGTCCTCCGCGTTCTCGACGCGTCTTTGCACGTCGGCCGCTCGTGGTCGCAGCATTCGCATTGGATGTCTTCGGGGCAACATATTATTTCAGCTACAGAATCTTGCACCGGCACTGCCGCCAGCCAGTCTTCGAACTCTTCCGCATGTCTGCGCAAATCGAAATAGCCGAGCGGATCGGCGCCGTACTTCTCAAGGTACGTTTGGTAGCCAAACAGCGTGCACGCCGTTCCTCTGTTGTATGAGAGGAACAATTCTTTGTTCTCGAGTGGCTGGTACCAATTAATTGGCTGCTTGAGCTCCCCCTCGCGGCGCGGGTGAACACACGCACATAAGAAACATACCAAACTCTGAACGCTGTTGCCGCTCGTGGCGATCGCCGCTTTTCGTAAACATTTCCGATCGATGGAATAACCGGCCAGTGGCGCTCCATGCCTCGTCTTCATCGCTATCGCCTCGTTGTACAGGCCCATAATATTCTCCTCGATCGTGTGCATGTGCGTCACGGTTTCTGTGGCAGTTGCGAACGCGTCGATGCGCACGTCACGGAGGTGATGCAGGAGCTTCATCTCGCGCGTGACTTCGGTCATCCTGTCGACGTCCACGGACCACGGCAAATCCCATGTGCAACCCTTGAACGCACAGCGTTTCGCGGGGAGCATCGCTGCTCGTCTGTCGTCGAAGACGCAAGCTTCTGGACAGGACGGGTTCCCAGGCTCGGCTGGGGCCGTCGGAGACTCTCTCAACATTTGTGACAGCGTCTCTATGTGGCTTTCTCGGATGGCACTCGGTTCGCCCACTCGGATCGCTTCTTCTCTGGGCAGTAGCGTCACTTTGTAATGCACGTCGCTGCCCTGCCCCTCTCCGCGCGAAGTCTGGTCGGCGGAGCGCGCCGCGTCGGGCGGAGATGGCGGCGGCGGCGGCGCCTGCGACGCTGAACCGCCAGAGGTGTCTTCTCCAATTGGCTCGGCGTCTCGCGTCGTCGCGTTCCTTGTAGCTGCTTCGGCGGCTGCTTTCGCCGCGTTTGCTTCTTCTTCTTGCCTGCGTGCCGCAGCTTCCCCCTCGCGTCGTTGCCGTTCTGCGGCTTCCGCTCCTCGTCGTCTGTGCGCTGCTGCTTCGAATGCCTGCATGAGGTCGACGGGAGCGAGTCTCTCGAAGTGCGTCCGCACGCTGCGACCTCCCGCGTCACCTCGACAGAGCCGCAGCAGAATCGGCGGCCCATCGCCGCGGAAAGAACCACCAGCGAACGTCAACGTGCGATCATCTGCCTCAGTTGTGAAGACGACGACAGGTCGGCTACTTTGTCGGCATATCGCGAGGAGCTCGCCCACGGAAAAGCAATAGCCGCGTTCGCGGA